TGCCCCTCCCCTGCCCTCGGATGGGCGAAGTTTGCTTTGCCAACGTGTTGCCGCAACGTTTTACATCTAGAAAATTATTTTGTCTGTTCACGCAATCTTCTTCGTAACTCCAAAGTTCTTCATCACTTTGAAATGTATTAGCCAACTATAATTAACTCCTTCTGCTTGTCTTGAGTGCTGACAAGATAAGAAAGAGGCTGGGCTCTCTTTCCCTGCATATCTGCTCATCCTGCCATAAACAAGAAAATGATGGCAGACACGGTCTATCAAGAAGAATCTTTTTCAAGAAACTCAGGAAGTGACGGAACCCAAATTTAGTCTCCGTTCGGGTGACACAGCAGTAATTTCTATGGTTCTTTCTACAACAGGCCTGTTGCAACATTTTGCTGTAAACACAGCAATTAACTCCATCCGACTGTTGGCACCGACACAATGCTTTATTCTGCTGTCTTCAGGAATTAAAACATTACATCAAAGCCGCTCTGCACTTCTTTCCATTAATCACACAATGTTTTGAGCAATGACCTCCAGTGCAGCGCTCCATCACACTGCTCTGCTTCTTCTCCTGCTGCGTGGTGAGATGTGTTAGGTAAAACTTCCAGGATTGCTCTTGCCATCATCGCTGACCTTGCTTTCACCAGTGCTGTCTTCACGTTCTTGAGGGACCTTGTGAGGGATGCCCAGCTGAGCACTGCAATCGTGACTCATCCATTTGCACATGATGCACGTGGTAATCATGCAGATGTCTAAATTTGGCTCTGTGTTTTTGGAGAGCTTTGCAGGGTTAAGCAGGCAAAGCTGAAGGATAAAATTCTGCAGGCAGTCATCCCCACGATCTCTGCATCAATGATACTTCATTGTGACTTGGTTAGCAAGAAGGGATACGGATAATAGGTGTGATGAAGTTTGAGATGATGGAAGCTACTTCTCCTGAAGTTACTTTTTCCACTTAGCACCAAGGTCTGTTGCCCTCAGTGTCCAAACCCAACAGTTCCTGGCAGATGGCAGCTCACTGTGCTTTACCAAAGACCTGAAAAGGAAGGAGGTTCAGTAAGAACTCTTTACACAACAAAAGGCTTATTCCTTTTAACAAAAGATAGTTGAGAAATGTCTGTGGTACCAAGACCTGTAAGAAATGAGGATATTCCAGCACCGCAGTAGGTGTTGGCACATGGGAAGGAGCAGTTTCTGACTTCCACTCTTGATTGATTCCTCTTAGAGGACCACTGGAGGGAGAGAAAGAGCGGCCTGTCTGCAACCTGCTCCAGTACTGCAGAAGATACATGTTGGGCACTTGGAGAACTGAAAGGAACTTTCTCATTGGGGTGGATGCTTCTGTATTGCTTGCCTTCTGTGGTGATTGAGCAACAAAGGAAATTTAGATGATGGACTGGGAGGTGGAGACATTTCTCTCCATCTCTGTTGGACAACTGGAAACCAAGCTGTCAGCAGACTTCTGAACCTTGGTCCTACTCTTCTCCTCACCTCTGACTCATTTCAGAATGCTGAGAAGGTTTGCAAGTTAGTGCCTCTCATACCCGACCATTTCTCCTTCTCATGAAAGAACAGTGGCTGTGTGCTCTTGATATTGGGCAATAGCAGCAGAGAGGTTAATACCTGTATGATGGTCTCTGTGGGTTGTTTTCTGTGTGGATTCCCAACCGATGTTAAGAAAGGCTTTTTTGCAAGGGCCAACATGGGAGGCACCTCACACAATCAGCTAAATGATCCACACTGCAGCGTGAGCAGAGGGGAAAATGAAATACTGGATAGGCAGTCCTGTGAGGCACACTGTCTTGTAATGCACAGGACAAAATTAAACACTGCTTTGGATTGAAATCCTGTTATAACAGCTACATAATTGGAAGGAGATGTGTAAATGGAAATTTACACAATTTCTTTACAGCAATTTCTTTAAACCTGTGAGGGTTAAGGATGTGATGATTGTGTAGAATACCTTTACATTTGAGCTTTTTGAAAAGCTGCTATTGCCAAACTTACTTGATTAAACCTCATAAAATCCCCATTTGGAACTGAGTGCACTCATACAAGTGGGCCAAGCTGCATCTGGTTCTCTATGGCAGCTCCGTGCCTGCCATCCCACCTCTTCCCCAGTGCAAAGAACTCCAGGCAACACAGCTGGGACAGCAAACCCACATCCATACTGGGATGACTGGGAGCAGCTCTGAACAGCTTACAAGCCTCACGTGGCTTCCAGCTCACCACTTGGCCGACTCTCTTGTCTGAGATCAAGAGTCACGAAATAAAATCATTTTCACGTTCCCCAGCATGAAAGCTCATGCCTTCATCAGAGTCTGAGGCTTGGTCCATTCTGGTGGCTCTTTATAGCTGCAGTTTGCAGACTATTCACCTCTTTACTTTTCTATTTGTGTTCAAGAAGAGTTTAATCAAGTTTTGTTCTTGGCAGCCAAGCAGGTTGTGATTAAACAGGGAGGATTTTGCTTTCTCGTGAGCAAAAAAAATTGCTCTATTTTAAATTTCAAAGAAATCCAATGCTTGTTCCCAGATTTCTTTTTCTTGAGCAGTATGTACTCTTTTAAATCCCAAAGAATGTTCCCTTCTAGAAATTTCTTCCCCATCCAGTGTACTGGTATGCAGCCCTTGGAAATGCCACCTTCCTTTCTGGAGAGGTATCAGAGACAAAGTGATTGTGTTAAAAGCTTTTGGCTGATCATAAAGTACCTGAAAGTGGTGTGGTCTAAGGAATAATTTCCTCTGGCTTCATGTAAATTGTAATACGTGCATATGATATTTTGAAAAGCCTTGTTTTTTATGCTTATATATTTTATGCTTTTTAGGTATTATAGATATCTTTATATTTAAATATCTAAATACACGAGTATATATAACACATATGGCATATTTAGTGTTCTAACCACTTTAAATGTTCCAGCTTTGTGATTTTCCACTGATGCTGCTTACTTTGCATTTTCACATTGTGGCTGCTGTGCACAAACCATTGGCACAACTGAAATGTTCCCTAAACTAGTCCTAAGGGGACATCGGCCTCCCCAGAACCTGCAGGAAAGCGTTGTTCCTACTCCATGCTCTTTTGTCTGGCAGACCTATTTCTTCATTGCAGGTGAGGAGTAAAGAAGCCCTTCTTGCACAGAGTGGCTCCATCTTTTTGGTACCAGGTACCAGTTTTGGTACCTTGCATCATTTAGGTTGCTCACAGAAGTTGTGGATGCCCCATCCCTGAAGGTGCTCAAGGCCAGGTTGCATGGGGCCCTGGGCAACCTGATCAGGTGGGGGGCAACCAGCCCATGGCAGGGGTAGGGGCTGGATGGCTTTTGAGGTCCCTTCCAACCCAACCATTCTGTGATTCTATAATCTTTAAGGTCTCTCCCAACCCAAGGTCAGGCTGGATGGAGCCCTGGGCAGCCTGATCTGATGGGTGGCAACCAGCCCACAGCATGAGATTGGAGCTGTATGGGCTTTAAGGTCTCTTCCAATACAAGCCATTCTGTGATTCTATGATCTCAAAAGTCCCTTCCAACCCAAGTCATTCTATGATTCTACAGTCATCTCAGGAAACAAAATCTGTTGCCCTTCCTGGAGTCAGGAGTGCAACACGAGCTTAGGCATTTAACAGTTGGTTGGATGTCTTCTCAACAGGTAAAATAGTCATCAAGTCACTTGCATTATTAGAAGGATGCTAAGCAAAGGATCATTTTTGGGAGGAATCTGCTAATATAAACTCACCTGTGTAGTGTATACCATCTGCATAAAATGTTTGTCTCATCACTGAAAGCATCCTGCTTTCCTTCACATCGTTCTTCCAGTATGGTGCAGCTCACAATACATTTATCTTGGTGCTCATCGAAGTGCTGAAGTATTTTCAGGGTGGTTGACTTATATTTTCCAAATACCAATCCAGAACACTGCATCCTCACAAACCTTTTACAGACAAGTGCTTTTTCTCTTCTGATACGGAGAGCTGTTGACGTTAAATGCTACTCATGCTCTGGGTGATGAATTTTCAGCAATGCCTGAACAATGCTGGTGCGTAAGTCCCCTGAAAGTCGGAAGGATTTGCATTCCTGTATTCTTTCCAGGTTTTTGAAAGTCCTGTGGGATATCAGCATGAAGAAGAAAGATGCAGCTGGCAGGGAGATGCTTTTTCTGTCTGAATTTCTGACAGCAAGGGGGAAAAGTTCTCCCCATTCAGTAAGGCAGCTGGCCGTCTTCGAAAAAAAGTGTGTGGTCCATTTGGGACTAAAGTTCTGCATGCAGAAACTCAGTGACAGACAAAAAGGTTTCTCCATGCTACAGCCAGAATAAGCTTTAAAAAATAGTTACTGGAAACATACCTTAAGTCCACCAGACAGTGAAAGTTGGAATGTAACTTGTTTGCTTAACTCCATGCTAGTACAATAAATGACTTGCATAAGGCAATTCGTTTACCATTGTTCAAAGAGCATGGATTATACAAACGCTCCATTGTATGTATTACTTTCTGGTGGTTTAACTTTCTTGGATTGAGAATGACTTAATGAAAGACCACGACTCAATTCCTGGTTGTAACTTTATGGGAAACTACAAGGCTGCATTGTCAAAGGTGCCGTTTGGTGCTTCCTTTCATTTCGGCTTCATTAACCTTGGAAAATGAGGTCAGAATATTATTATTTTTTATTGTTATTATTATTATTTTTATCCTTCCTCATGGTTGGGTTTAAAACAATTGCTAGATTTGTGGTCAAAGGGGCTCAGTGGGAGGACTTTGCCTGCCTCTGCTGCACAGAGTCATTTCTTGGAGTAAGTCAGGATTTTTAATCTAACTCCTGCAATTATCACAGGGAATACTCACGATCCCTTTGGCTCTCCTTCCCAAAGACTGTTCTATGTCATTATCTTTGAGACCTCTGGGGCTTGGAGCTGAGGGCCTGTGATACCATCAAAGCTGTGGAAAACAGATGTAGTTTATTAATGCAGCAAACCACAAGTTATTTACCTTAATCCTTTTTTTCTGCTCACAGGTGCCCACTGAGACGAGGCAGCTCTTTCACATTTCTCACTCCAGGACCACACTGGGATTTCACCCTGGTAAGTAAACCACTGGTGGGTGCACATGAACAAAATCAGGAACAGGGATGTGAAGGTCCTGCTTCCTGGAGAAAGAAAAGAAAATCACCATATTCTTCCCTTTCCCTGGCTATGCATGTACATTCTGAGCCACTCGGGCTCCTGGAGGGTGCTTTTCACACATAGGTGAAGAGAAGACAGGATGTCATGGAGATTATGATTACTTTCTGATGTGTTTCAGCAGATCATAGAATCATTAAGGTTGGAAAAGACTTCTAAGATCATCAAGACCAACTGTCAGTGCATCACCACCATGCCCACTAACCATATCCCCCAGTGCCACTTCTGTCCACCTCCAGGGACAGTGACTCCACCACCTCCATGGGCAGTGTGTTCCAATGTCTCACCATTCTTTCTGACAAGAAATTTGTCCTAATATCCAAACTGAAAAAAGGGAAAAAACAAATCATGCTAACCAAACTAGCAATGCGAGATGTAAATCATGCTGTAGAAGTGAAGATTCTTTTTCTTAAATACAAAAATCTGTATTTTATTTGGTACAGAGACTACTTAAAACAAATGTGTGGTCTTACTTCTGTAAGACTTGTACTCTGCTTTCCATTCTCTAACAGGTATCCCTTATTAGGGAGGTGGTTCATATCTAGCTTCAGCTTTTAGAGCTGATAGACAAAGACAGACCACCCTGGAGAGTGATGCAGAGCACTTTTACTGGGTATCTCTTATGCTTCTTCATTAAGTCTGTCCCTTTCATGCACTGAGGATTGCAATGTGATTAGTCAGCTGAAGTAGGTGCTGTGTATAGAAATGCCATCCTATCTTAAAGCTCATTTCCATGAGCCACCTAAGCTGACCTGACCCTACTGTCCCTAGAAGCAGTGATCCCATCACTGACCAGCAAAAATGACCTGGCTGAAAAACTTTGCCTTACCAAAAAGAAAACAAGATGTTTTGGATGAGCTGATCCAGATGACTGCACAAGCTGTATTATTCTCGTGCCAGTGTCTGCACGAGGAAGGGTGTGACAGCATCTCTGGGGTGGGGAAAAGGACAGGACTGCCTTTTATGAAGGAAATCCAATCTCAAATCAGCTGGAGCTTCTTATGCAAACACGTATGTAGACAGATACTTTTCTGCCTGTGCCTTGAAGGGCAGCCATGTGCAATTTTGAGGCTGCACAAACACCAGTCCAGCGTGGGAATGGAAAAAAGCAGACCTGATGGTTTTCACTTAATTTAAGGAACTTTCATCTGGTGACTACAGCTACATTAAACATATTCATTTGAATATTACCAAGCCCTAGAAATTGCATTCTTTCAGAATGAAAAATATTGTATTGTATCATCAGAAATTAAAAGTATTTTGACTGAATTTCAAGTCATTCTTGTTCTCTCTATGGTTTTTTAAGTCTGCTTTTATTTGGCTATACTCATCTTCAGTTAAACTCTCCGTTACAGTTAGCACTTATTGCTAGGCTTTGTAGTCATAACACAGACTGCAAAAAGCAAAGAAATTGTTTGAAGGATTTGATTGCTTATTTGCATTTCTCCATCGTGTCCCTCATCATCCTGGTCTTCCACGTCACCCTCCAAGCCCAAATAGCTTTATTTATAGCTACAGTGAGCACCCCTGAGCTCCAGACCTTATCTGGAGATCCCAGCTTTCCTGGAAGTTAATCTTGGACAGATAAACCTAGCATTGGCAGGTAAGAAAATAGAGGAGAGAATAAACATTGAAGGAGAGTGCATCTCAGTTGCTGAGCAGACATACCCTTGCTACATGGCCTGGGACCAGGTCTCTGCTCAAAGGCTTTGCTGGTGTAATTATGCTGACGTTTACTGACCAAAGCTCTTTATTTTGGTAGCAGCCCATAGGCAAGTGAGAACTGCCCTTTTCCCTGTCATCCCTCCCATGTGCAACACACGAGGCATTTTGTTCCCCACGGCCACCACCAAGTACTCGAGTACTGAGCAAAACAGCATCTCTTCCTACCTTAGTTTGTGCAATGCTTCAGCCAACAGCCTGTAAAACATACCTGGCCTGAGTCTCAGGAGTAGTGGGTAGCCAAGCCGAATGTCATACAGTCATTAAGGTTGTTTTCATGCCTGCAGAGATGGAGTGGGTTTAAAGAGAAGGACCAATGCATGCGCTACACAATGCTAAGACAAGACCAATGCAATCTAGGGCAAAACACAGAATCATGGAATCGTTTGATTTGGAAGGGACCTTTAAGGGTCATCTAGTCCAGCTCCCTTACAATGAACAGGAACACCTAGAACACAGTCAGTGCCCAGAGCCTGCTTCAGGAACGGGGCACCCACCACCTCTCTGGATGGCTTCATACTGGAAGCACTGTTACTCAAGGTCTGCTTTCCCTTCTTCTTCTCCATTAAGAAGGATGCACTTATGAGAAACCATCACTTGATCTTTGTTGTTTTAACAGTCCTGATGCATTTCCTCACCCAGTGCCTTATTGGTGTTTTATAACTTCAAGTGGGCAGTAATGAACACAAAAATAGGCTGATCCCTAATTAAAAAAGCATTCTGCTTTCACGCAAAAGCTCTTAGTACTGAGTGAGGAAAACTAAATGACTGGAATGATTTACAAACTGAAAACCAGCAGATTCTTAAAAAGCTCTCCTGGAGCTTTAAAGAGAATCCTTGAAATGTAATTAACATTCGTGCTCACAGCACTGATTAGGTTTCTCTAAAATAATACAAGGGGAAATGGTTTCAAGCTAAAAGAGGAGAGATTTAGATTGGATACAAGGAAGAAGATTTTCACAATAAGGGTGGTGATGCACTGGAATAGGTTGCCCAGAGAGGTGTTGGAAGCCCTGTCCTTGGAGACATCCGAGGTCAGACTGAATGGGGCTCTGAGCAACCTGATGGAGGTGTAGGTGTCCCTGCTCACTGCAAGGGAACCAGATGACTTTTAAAGGTCTCTTCGAACTCAAAAGGTTCTATGAATATTTAGATTTCCCCTCCTGATTTGCTTTTTTAAGGCTTCTCCTTTACAATACCTCTTTGAGAGCCTAAATCAGGTCTCACGGTTTTTACAGTTTAATAACTTTCGTCGAAGTCACTCTTTCCACATCACTCGAGTTTCATGAGAAGGAGAACGTATCAGATCTTTGATTGCGACCGTCTCAAAAATGTGAGAAAACAGGGCCAGAGCCGTTGCTTTTCTGTCGTGTGGCTTTAAACACCCAGGTTGGAGCAGTCTGAAGAGGCAGTTTTCCTGGAATCTGTTTCTGTTTTGGCACCGAACAGGAATGATACAGCTGGCTCCCTACTCAAACGTCTCAGTTTTTGTACAAAACTATATTGGGCAAAGGAAATGGGGTCCAGCCAATGCAGTACTTATTGCATCAGTCTAGCCAGTTTAAAAACAAAACCTTGGCCTTCCTTTCGTGTCTGGGCTTTGGTCTGGAGCTGTATGTTAAAGATGTTAATATACTCAAGTACATAAGGAACGAATAATATTCAGACCAGAAAGGCGTGGTGTCTTTGTTGCAAGTTCTGTTAAATAGATGCTAATATCTTTGACTTACATATGGGAAAAATAATCTGCAGACCAAAAAGGTGTGGTTATAGCAGTCTTTTATTGTAGGTTTTGATAAATAACCAACCCTGAATGTTTTACTAAACCTAAAAAACAAATGTCTGCGTTTCCACGCGTTCTCAAGCCTGCCAAAATACTGTTCAAAAAGGATGGAGTGTGCTGGGACATTAATTCCGTGTCAACACTACAATTTGGTCAGACAGAAGTCTAACATGAGAATAATTTTCCTCTGCAGTTAGCAAGTGTCAGGGAAGGGGCTCTGTGACGTAACAGAAGCAGTATCTTGTCTTCCCAAACACAAAACAGAAACACTGCTTGAAGTAATTGGAGAACTTTGTCGTTGAATCCAATTATTAAGCTAAGTTTGATCAATTGAGAGGGAAAAAAAAAAAAGACCACCACACCAGAACCCCAAATAAAAGAAACTTGTCAGCGAGCTTCAATATCTCACCATTAAATACATGTATTTAACTTTATAGTTAAATGGTAGAGCCAGCATAAGGAGGACAGGTGAGAAAACACATTAGAGCCTAAGAATGGTGTGAAAGCCTAACCTGGTCTAAAAGGACTAGGAAACCAGGTTTGTGAAAACCCTGCAGGGAAACTGGATGTCCCCTCAACAGCAGAAGATTTTCAGAGAAACCATGGGAGGTGGACAGGTCAACGTTTAAAAGTAATTTAAACACTTGCAGTCAAATACATTTACAGTGATGATACCAATTAAAGCTGTAACTTTTAAGTTATTAGAATAGATTATTAAATTCTAAGAAAAAAGAAGTTGCCTATTTGCACCTGTCAGACTGGGAGAGCACAAGGAACAGAAATTTGCTGAAGTTCAGAGCAGAATTGTGGTGGTGGTTCCCTCTGCAGCTGCTGAGAGGCAGCTTTTCCCACTTCAGGTCAATGTCTAATCTGTTACAGGCCAGTAACATTTGGACCAATACAGGTTTTGGTTGGATGGGACCTTTAAGATCATCTTGTTCCACCCCACCCCCCTCCTATAGGCAGGGACAAAACACAACGTTGTTTTTGATTTCCATTGTTCTTAGTGAAGTGGAAGAAGGTGGCCTCCACTCATCCTTTAATTTTGATCGGCGAGGGTCAAACAGGATGAAAATCAACAACTTGTTCTGTGGGTGACCAAACAATTTATGCCATCACCCATGTTTTTTTTCCAGAAGGGGTGATTTCCAAGATGGCACAGTCTAACAGGATGAATCCATGTTTAGTTTTCCATTATCTGGATAGTGTAAAAATAACATTGAAACCCAGATAGTACAGAAATAGTGGGAGGTATCAGGAAGCTCAGTGCAGATGTCTTTGATCATGGTTCCACCAGCTTGTGCTCTTCAGAAAGGAAAACAGCTGAGGGCACCCCAGCCAAAAGCCTCATCTTTCTTCCACAAACACGCTTATTTCTTAGCCTATTGCATCCTTGACAGCGATGCTTCAGCCACAGCTGTCTGCTGGCCCTGTCCACTGTAATTAATTAAATAGGAGATCTAAAAGCTCTCACAGCTCTTCAAGCAACCTAGTGCTAAACTGCTTCATGCAGGACAAAATCTGTGGATCCCTCACTCGTGAACCCCTGCCAGGCTGATGATTAACCACGATAAGAATTAGATACGGTATCATCTGGTGTCCTCCTGGAGACTCAAATCCTAATGATCACCAAGTCTGACCCCCTCGATATCCAACTCTTTCAAAAAGCTGAAGTTTATCGCTGACTATAGCAAAAAACAGAGCCTAATTTCTGTTTGCAAATCAAGTGCACTGCTATAACTTGGTTTCATTTCTTACAGAAAAGGAAACGCCGAGACAAAGACGATGATGTTGTCAGTCTTTGCAGCCTTGACTTTAAGGTAAGGAAAACACATTGCTCTAAGTATTGTGCAACCCCAGCGGCTTATACTGGGTAATGCCATACTTTCTGTGTTTGCATTTCACCATCAAGAGCTCAGAGACAGGTACAGCTGTGTTAGCTCTCGGCTACACCTCTGGGGTGGGCTGAGTCCTGCTGTGGATATCCACAACACTGCTTGTGATCTCCTCTTTTAATCATCTGAATCCTAAATCCACCTCAGTTTTAGTGTTGTGTGAAATGAATGTGTGTAAACTGCACTTAGGGAGAACATAAGCATTTTCAAGCATGAGAAGGAAAACTGTGCAGAAGCCCTTCAAATGCACTTCATTGTATTGCAAACAAGCTGGACTGGCTGGGTGGTAAATTGTCTGTAAAGCTGAGGATTAAAGCGACTTAAAAAGTTGAGGGTAAGGGATTGTATCTCTTACCAAGGACAACCCAAGCTTGGTTTCCTTAACGGGAAACTGCTTCCAATTCTCAATCTACCCCGAAGATCTCACCATCACTTATCTGAAGAAGGGAAGGAAGAGAAATAGGAGCTATTGAGGTGAGAGTTAACAAGTGGGTTTTACAGTTAATAAACTGGAGTTAAAAGTGATTTGTTAGTGGGGAATTTCCTGCTTGACCTAATGACCAGCTCATCCTCTGTAGCTGACATTTACTTTGCATTTGTGCATTATTTATGAGCCTAATTTAGCCTGGCTACTGCTGGCAATGTTCCATGGCTGACTGTCCTAACTGTGGGCTTCCCCGGCTCTAGACTAGATCTTCTGTTCCAGATAACACCATCCCTGTGCATACTGTCATTACCTAGTAGGGAAGGGAAAAGATTATCTGCAGAGAGCTCTGACACAGCAGCGCTGATGCCTCTGAAGTGAGTGTGTTTTGGGGCTTGTTTCCTTTCTCAGGTCTTCATGGATTTCTGATGCAGATAGCTAGGAAAGCTGCCCTCAGGGAAGAGGATTTTCTTTTTTTTCTTCTGTTGAATTGGGCTATATTTTTGGGTGTTGGGTAAAATTGGGTAAATGAGAGATTCTCCCACAAAGCAATCACTTGAAAGCAAAACTGAAATATCAACAATAGTTTGCGTACTCGCCTTTTAAGAGTTTTAACTGGAATCTTCCAACAAGAAGGGAAATCCCTAGGCTAAAACAGTCAAAGTTCAGACTGCAGCTTTTGTTCCAGCTGACTTTTTACCTTATTGTTTTGAAAGGGTCAGGCTCTGGGGGATATTTAAGAGCTTAAGGCACACCCACCAAACACACTCTAGCCTTGTTAAAATACGTTAATGGTAAGGACTGGGTTGTCTTTTGCAGGCTTTTGTTTTTGACTCCAGTCCTCAAGGTTATTAAAAGTTTTAAAAGCAATACTATCAGCTATTTATAGTTACACTTTCAAAACACATCACTGGGACTTTAGAGTCTCATCACGCACTTATGCAGTAGTACAGATTATGTTTTGCTCTGTCTAGGTTTTATGAGGGTGACCCCATAGGCTAAAATTTAGCTCCAGCAGACACAGATGTATCTGTTTCATTAATGAAAGAAAGTCTCAAAAGAATTTCGAGATAATTTAAGGATGTTATGTGTAGGTTAGGTCATACATTGTTTACCCCCATCTTATACATGGGAACTGATTTTCAGAGTTTGTCTATATTAAGTGTCTAACTCCATCACGTATCTCTTATTTCAGCTCCACTATCTCACCCAGCAAATATAGCTCAGCTGACAAGCTGCTGTTTTGTCACCAAGTTTTGCCTGCATGCTGCATTTACTCTCCTGTTAGACATACTTGTGCTGACAAAACTACCTCGTGTAGAATCGTGATCTTGTTTTGGAGCACCCAAGTACCCAAACCTGGCACTCTACCCACTGAGTGTTTTTCCAGTATAAATAGAGAAGGTTTAATTTAATTTGGATGTGTATACCTGCAGTTGAGCAGTCCTTTAATAATGTTTAAAACTCACATACTGTAGATAGTTGTGCCACATACCAGGAAGATGATATGCAAAATGACAGGGGAGATGACACCAGCCCAGACGGTCTGCAATGCTCAGGCTATTCCTGTTTATTTTGTCTTGTTAACCTACTCCTTGGCCCCAGAGTCCTGCTCCACAATGAACCAGATCTCTTAGGCCTGCTAAGCTACTTCTTTGACATACAGCCTAAAACACTCCAAAGATTACCAAAATATGAGTGAGAAGTTATAACCTGAGAAGGCAGGTAGAGCATCTGCTTCCTTCAGTGCAGAGCCCAGCCCTTCTCGTGTGCCAGTAACACACATCTTTCGGGAGAAATGAAGGTATTTTCTCCCCAGATCATTTCCATACAAGTTGCATTATTGATAACTGTCTGGGTCAGGCAGAAGGGAGATCCGCAGTGCAGGGAACCAAACAAGAAATTGAGGACAGGAATGTGTTAAGCAGATCTTCATGCTGTGATACTGAAAGGTATTTTTGCATTTCAGGTGGGTTTCTGAGCTACTTTTTTGCTAATTGATTGCACATTACCCCACAGTTAATTAAGGTGGTGAATGATTCACGGGAGGAAGCGGGACTGTGTTTTTTGAAGGTGTGTGTATATCTCGATGTTTGTTAGCAACTGGATAAATACTTTTCAGTGCATGACAAGGAATACACGGATGTGATAGTGTATTTTACCTGAGGCAAAACGAAGCCAGGCTGAGTAATGCTGGAAGAATCACGCCTGGTCTGGATGGTGTTTTCTGGTGGTTATTGGATGTCTTTTTAAGGCTTAGGAGGAGGGATTCCGCAGAGGAAGTGAAATCGTAGTGAAGACCCTTACATGAACCTCCATGTTGTGGCCTCTCCAAGCCTTACTCACCTCCTGGGACCAGCTGTGTGAATATTACTCATCCTGGATGAGAGAGGAGTCCAGCCCAAACAAGCCCTGGAGCTGTACTGGTGCTGGCAGCAGAGAGAGGCTGTGATGATAAAGCTGACAGCAACCATCTCCCCAGGAAAGGCAGATAAACCACGAATGTTTTTAAGGTAGAAAATGACTTGGAAAGAAGAGGAAGGGGGAGAGAGAATCCCTACATGTCTGCATTCTTTCGGTCCAGATCACCGAGAGCCACCAGTAAGTATCTTTCCATGGTCGGAATCCCCAGAAGCAGCTTGGCTTGAGGCAGAGATAACACAGCCAAAAGAACATCACCAAATAACGCAAGAAACTGCAGCTGTAACATCTTTCTTCAGAATATACATCGACAAGCTTTAAAGAAAGAACACAAACAGTCTCTCCCTCCTCCATTTCTCCCTCCCAAAGATACAACGGCTGCAGAGGACTTTTATGGGAATTTTATTGGCGTGTCTGATTCATGCAGGAACGTGCCCATGCATAAGTTACCAATTTGTATTTGGAAACAGACTTTGATCAAAATGAACATCGCTGGCATCGGCCGCGCTTTGCAACTGAAAAACAACATTTGGCACGTGAGCAGGTTGGGAGCTGAAGTCAACTTCTCGCTCCATTACCCTGTTGTTAGGTTAGATGTTGCGTTTAATAATATCACAGGCTTGGAAGGTTTGTGTTTTCTGGTGTAGCATTCATATTCATAAGATGGAAATTGCTTTGCTAGCCTGGATGCACCAACATTCAGTTGAGGTAACCCTTTCTAGCAAGCTCTGCAAAATGCTGTAGGTTGTGTTTCAGTAAAAATGCAATCTGCATTGTGGGATGGGGTTTTTTTTCCTACTTATGATGGAGTTGAATGGCAGCTAATTATAGTGACCTCCACCATCCAAAATAAATGCTAGATTCCAGACCGGCTCATAAACATTTCAGATGACCCAACAGTCTCTGGATGGGTCATAGCCTACTTTTGCTCATTTTCCAGAATACTGCTCCGAATTCCACTCTGAATATAAATATCAGGGAGTGGAATGTTAAACACAGCTCATGGACAGTAAACAATGTTGTGTACAGCAGCGGGGGTCTGACTGCTCCGAGGACGTGAAAATGTAAGGAAGAAGACTGCCCGTGGAGTTCTTATTTATTCCAGTCCTCGAATGCTCTGCATGTTATGCTATATATGGCACATTAAGAATAGCTGTAATGGTAGTTTTCAGTTGGATTTCAGTTCCTAGTAAGCGACATCTCGAACTGTACGCACACAACAATGGAAATGAATACGCCACGAATGTAATGGATGCTTTCGTTTTCTGCGAGACTTCGAGCCGCCAAAGGGATTAAAATGTCGCAGGTTCTTTCTTTGAAGAAATTGAATCCAGATGTCAGTCACGTTGGAGGCATCCGGGACCTGTGAAAACTGGGAAAAGTGCCCACTGAGGAATGCCCCCTGCCTCTGGGCTGCTGTTGTGCACCAGCTCGGGTCTTTTTCACCCCGGGGCAGCGGCAGAACTGAGATCTTTTGTCTTTGGCTCCTGTCTGCAGCAGCAAACATCCTTCTCGTAAGGTTAGGTATAAAACAAAGCAACCTGAAGTGTCCTGGCTGATGACTGGGCTGTGTAACCGGGGCAGAATTGAGGTGCGAGGATATTGAGAGTGCTGTAATAACCTCCTTTGGAGATAGGCAGAAAGTCACATTCAGATCTGCTAAGATTTTATATTAATTGCATCTGCCTGCCGTTGTCACACATGATTTCCTTGAGTGCTGACAAAAGAAGAGGCAGATATCAGGTCACTGAGTGCTGGCCACCCCGGACACGGGCTGGAGGACGTATCAGCCATAGGGCAGCACTCCTGCTGCCATGAGAGGTCTGCAGGGCATGCTTGGCACCCCCTGGCTCTAGCCAGATACCACATGTTGCTTAAGCAGCCGGGTATTTTTTTAACAGTGAAAACTTAGATCAGTCAGGAACTGCACACTGGAAATTGGAATTCATCATTTCTAATCTAAAATGTATTTGACAACATTTTGGGGGCTAAAATAACAAAAGAACATGTGAGTATCCCCCGAGGTAACTTTTATTTAGTAGCGACCCCACCTAGAATAAAGCACAGGAGCAAAGAAAGCAGTAAGTGTGAAGCTGCCCATGACTACAGGCAAACTCTCAGTGAAACAGCAATCCACTCTTTTCCATGGAAATAAAAACCCAAGCTAAAAATGAGCATCAGTGAGATCCAGGTGATTCCTCTGTCACTCAAACTCTTCCTTACTCCCTAATTTGATGATAGCACGACAGGAGTCACCAAGTATTTCACTCCTAGAAGTGAAAATTCACATTTGAGTATAGGTGAGGAATGCTATTAATACTCAATGGCAGGAGAGCAGGAAGAACTCGTCTGTTTTCCGCCACCCCATGCAGAGACCAGCCAGGCAACATTCTCGTGGCTTCAGATCCGCAGCGTGGGCCAGACCCTACCCAGAGCCCAGAGGGGTTGGATAGAAAAATACCATCTGGGCTAGATTTTGTGTAGGGTACAGATCCGTAAGTCAGGCTTCATTGCTTTTGCTGCACAAGGAATGATTTTCCTTTCTTTTTTCATTTGTTTTGGCTTTCATTGGAGTACCACAGCTTTGCTCACTGCCTCTTGCTTGTGTTGTAAGTGGAGCAGAGGCAGTGAAGCAAAGCACAGGTATCACAGCACACCCTGAGCTGCTCGAAGGTCATACTGATGGCATTGCTGTTGAGAGAACAGCATGAGCCTGGGAACTTGTGCAAGCTCACCTTCCACCCTTGCTATCTTTAAGCTTCTCCAGATTTATTCCCTCCTCTGCGTGCTCAGTGTTGCACACTGTTCAGGGAGTACCCATTACAGCTCTACTTGCAGTTGGATTTTACCCTGAAACAGACCTGGATGATCTACACAGAGGTCTATTCTAGGGTATAACTGATGTACAGAAATCATCCCATCTGCTGTAGGGGCAGCTGGGAAATACTTGCTGTTCGCTGTGTTGTATTAAAGCTTTAACCACACCTTGCTCTGAACAAAGGGCAGTCGTCCAGGGCAATAACCTCATCCAGGGCAATAACTCATCTTCTAGGGCACGTAACCCATTGTCCAGGGCACATAACCCATTGCACGTGCCATACCAGGAGTCAAACAGGGAGCCCCAATGTGTCAGGCCAGAGCTTTAAGTTTCCATAACATGACTTCAGCCGTCTGCATCAGCCAGGGCTTGCATCACCACGGATGAGCCACCCTCACCAGGTTGTGAAACAGGGATCTCCCTGCCCGTGAGCTGTCCCTTCCCCAAAGGCTCTGGAAGGAGGGGAACAATTTAACTCCTACGTCACAAAAACCACTTAATATGGCATGAAGTGCTTCAGGACACAGGAGGACATCACGTTCTGGTCCTAACAAGACTCGTGTAAGTGCTGCCTTTGTGCATGCGACTGCTCCATGCCTTCCCTCCAGGGTCCTGGTTGTTTGTGCCCTATTTTTAGTTGACAGCCCATCTACATCTATGAAGAAAGAGATGCCTGTCTAGGTTGATAAGCATTCCCTCCTCTCAACCCCTAGATCACAGACCCTGGATCTTTAAAGTGAGTTTAACAAACCTTTGTCTTTAGGTTATAAGGGGAAGCAGGCATTTAGATACTCCTGAAAACCCTAATGAAACTCAGTGAATGGTTTGCCAGAGTCACAGTCCTGTTGGTCATTTGTTGTCTTAAAAACAGGATTGGCCCCATCAGAGAGTCTGCGGGAACTCGCCGTGCCTTGAGTTTGTGAGAATCCTGTATTGGATGACCCCAAACATCCCGCTCTCAACTGAGGTTTATCCTAACACATCAAATATTCGTATCATAGAATGGCCTGGATGGTCCTTAAAGATTACAGAACTATGGGATGGTCGGGCTGGAAATATCCTTAGAGATCATAGAATCATAGGTTAGGAGGGACCTTAAAGATCACAGAACCACAGAAAGGTTGGGTTGGAAGGGATCTCAAAGCCCACCCAGCCCCAACCCCTGCCATGGCTGGTCGCCCCCTACCATATCAGCTTGCCCACCACCCCAACCAACTTGCCTTGAGCTGCACATGAGGCACCCACAATTCTTTGGGCAGCCTGTGCCACTTCCTCACTGCCCTCTAAGTAGACTTTCCTCCTAACATCTGACCTAAATCCTCCCCTCTTAGTTTAAAGCCATTCCCCCTTGTCCTATCACTATATCCTCCTGTCACCCTTCCCCCTCCAAACAGCAGCTATAAGCAGCCACGCAGCCACCAAATAAACTCAGTGTGTTTTTACCAGCTCAAGAGACCTTTTACTGTGGAGATTTGCAGCAGTGCCAGGAATAATATAACTTGAACAAACAAACAAAAGTACAAAACCCTTTGCATCCAAAGCCAGGCTTGCCAGGACAGGCTGCCCTGTTAGCAGAGGGGGAGAGGCTCAGCCCCTGGCTAGCAGAGCGGTGCCAGCAGAGCCTTGAAAGCTGAGAGCAGACTTCAAAGCACAGGTCTAGACAAGAATTCAGCTTTTTGAACACAAGAGGGTAAAAACCATAACAAAAAAATAAGCAACACAATTTGCAGCAGCAAATGATTTCGCTGCCATCAGGAGGAGCATGTCGCACTGCCCTTGTGAGATGGTGAACAAAAAGAAGAGGAAAATAAGACCAGAAAACATGAAATCACAGAAGCATTTAAGCTGGAAAGGACCTTTAAAGATCATTTGATCCAACCCCATGCAATGAACAGGGACACCTACAGCTCCATCAGGTGCTCAGAGCCCCGTCCAGCCTGACCTTGGGTCTCTCCAGGGATGGGGCGCCCCACACTTCCCTGGGCAACCTGTGCTGGTGCTTCACTACCCAAATGTTTTGTTTCACCTTTTTTTTTCAGCACAGAGAGTGGAAAATCTCAGCTTTCCAAAACTTTCACAGATCACAGAATCACAGAATGGCCCAGGTTGGAAGGGACCTCAAGGATCATGAAGCTCCAGTCCCACTGCCACATGCAGGGCCACCAACTTCCACATTTAATACCAGCTCAGGCTGCCCAGGTCCCCATCCAGTCTGCCCTTGAACACCTCCAGGGATGGACGGGGCACCCACAGCCTCTCTGGGCAGCAGTTCCAGCACCTCACCACTCTCATAGCAAAGAACTTTCTATCACACAGCATGATGGCACGCCCTTCTTGACATTCGAAGGGAGCTGCCGTCACACCGCCTTAAAGCAGAGCCTCTCTTTTGGGAGCTTTAGGAGAAAAAAACAGCGCAGGGAAAGCTGACTTGGGGAGGGAAACAGCGCAGGTAAAGACGCCGTTGAACCTTCACCCCACGAGCACCGGCAGGGGGACCGCAGAGCAAGGGGCGTGGCCATGTGCAGAGTAGGCGTGGCTTTGCGGTGAGTGGGCGTGGCTTTCGGCCGTGGCCCCTCCCCCAGCGGTGAGATCGGGGCGCGGTGCGGCTGCGGGCGCAGAGTGGGGATGAGCGCGGAGAGCGGAGCGGTGCGCTGAGGGTCGGGCGGCTGCGCCATGGTGGCTCACGATGAGCTCGGGGGGCTGCTGCCTATCAAAAGGACTATCCGGGTGATCGACTCACAGAACCAGTCCTTCAGGGAGCAAGAGGTGAGGAGGAGAGGGGCTCGGAGGGTTGGGAGTGTGTTTTTGGGGGGAGTTTGGGGTGGTTTTTTTTAAGGTAGATACGGTGCATTTGGGTGGCTGGCAGGGTTTTTTCCTCATTAAGGCGGCTGTTTGCTTTTCAAACCAAAAAAAAAAAAGGAAGTATTGGTTTTGGGTTTCCTTTCTTTTGCTTCACTCCGTTTGGAAGTGTTGTTATTTCTATGCTGCGTTGTTATGCAGATGAAGTTAATTGCATTTCTGGTAGATTATCTGCAGGTAAAAAGTCCAGCACGGACATAGGGTGCCCTGGGCTGGGTTTTTTGTTGAGATTATGGGGAAGTAGAAAAAAAGCAACAGAAAGAAGGCAGCTTGGGGGCTCTGAGCTCCCTGACTGAAAATCCAGCCTTAAAACGGCCAAATTTGGGCAACTGCACTGCATCAAAGGCAAACCAGGTCCTGAGAGAGAAGTAAAATCAACCAATAGGAGTCAAAGTCTTTCAAATCACCTCTAATTGTTAAAAAAAAAAGTGTATTTCTGGAAGGTGTAATTTGGGGAAGTGACACTGGGGGGGTCTGGGCTCGAGCAGAGCCCCCAAAGCCAACAGTGCTATCAGGAGCCACTGAACTTATCAGGGCTGGATTGTCCCCATTGAGGTGGTCGAAGGCAGTGGGTGGAAAACTCCATGGCAGTGTGATGGCTCGGGTTGAGCTGGCACGTGGATCTTACAGGTAGAGTCAGGTGGCGGTGACTTCCAGCAGGAATCCTTCGAGCCAATGGTTGTGATCATCTTTTGCTCTGGAGGAGTTTGGCCACGCATGGTTTTTGGATTTGTCACCGTGTTTGTGTGCCTTGCCATGGGGCTGGCACTTGGAACATTGTCCTCTAGTAAATGATCCCTATAAAAACCACTAATTATTACCTAGCAGAGAGGTAAAGGTTGCATGCGTGCGTGCTGCTGAGGGGAAGCGTTTCTGTGTTCAGGTGTAGAGGCTGCAAGATGGCAAAGTCTTCCCAATGCAAAGTGAAGAAGTTCAGGTGATGGAGCTTTGGATGATGTCCCTGTGCTTTGCAGGGGAGTTGGGTGAGGTGACCTCAAAAGGTCTCTGCCAGCCTTAAGGATTCTATGATTCTAAGCTGCGCTAACGACGGAACCCCACACTTTAGTGGAGCTTCTTCAAGTGCTCCTCTTTAACGTGGAAGCCTTGCCCTTCAGTGGGAGCACTCAGAGATTTTGTGTGTATCTTTGTGAAATAGAATCACTTGAGTTGAAAGGGACCCTTAAAGGTCATCTAGTCCAATTCTGAGTTTATATATAGATAGGTGTGTATGATTTTAGTGGAGTTTTTGGGGAAATAAAAGAACATGCGAATGGAAGCAGAGTGCTGCTGAGCTCTGGGGGTTGTAATTATTTGTCGGTGCTGTAATGCTTAACACCAGCAACTTGTGAAGGAAATTTTGCAGGCTTCCTTCTAATCCGGGCTTCCGTAAGTAATACAGCGTGGAGACAGTCTGCTCATTGTTTGCACATACAGAGCTTTGAGAAGAAGCAAATGGTGCTGAGCCAAAGTTATCCGTAGGATGAACTGTGCTGAGTCTCATCTTCCATCGCGTCTGAGTCTGTAAGGGGAGGACGTAACCCCAAACTGAAATGCAGACCTCAGAGAAAGAGAGGGTCCTGAGGAGGAGGAATTTTCCCCCTCTGCTTTGGGTCAAGTGATGCAATCAGAAGGAGAGAAGAAGAAACAGATGCCGTTTTTTGGCAGTCGAGCCATTCGAGTCTGAGACATCGCAAAGCGTGATTACCTTTTCTTTGAGACAGAGGAAATGGCCTTGTGCTAAACTGAATTTATAGCACACGGAGGTTTTTCTGCTGGCCAAACACCCCGAGGAAGTGCATCGCATGTGCAGCAACGCTCTGGTCTCACCAGCCCATGCAAAATCCTCCAAACGAGCAGCGCTGCTCCTGTTTGCTCCACGCCTGTCTTTGCGTGGCTCAGTATCAACTGCTGCTTTATAATCCCACGGGAACAGGGAGCCCCTTTGTGCTGCCCATCCCAAAGCAGAGGCAGGAATGCCTCCTGCAAGACAGTGTGCATATGCACGTGTCCCTCAGCCTGGCACAGATGTGCTGGGAAGGCATTCCCACACGTCCCGTGGCCAGATAGTGTGTCCTTGTGTCTCATAGCTGGAAAGGATGCCCAGCTGACCCTCCTACAGCAAGCTGTAAAGCAGCCCTCAAGCATCCCAAAGTCCTGAGGTTGTTAATTTTCAGTGTCACATTTTTCTTTGCTGTGCTATTTATATCTCTAGCCTTGACATAGCTGTGGATGGTTTGTGTCTGTATATTGTCTGCTTACGTTCCTGCAGTTTCTCTTGGCTTGTATCCCTTTATTCCAGCACGCAGTTACATGGTTTTATAGAACTAAATTACCTCTTCTTTTACTCTGGCCAGAAGTGTCTGTCGTTAATTAAAGTGCCCAGCCTGACTTCCCAGCCGTCTGGATAACGCTTTTCCCAGCTGACTCCCTTCTTGAATGTGGTATCTTCAGGCTGGAAGGAGAGAAGTGACTTCAGCACTGTACCTACAGCCAGCTGAGGGTCGGGGCCTGGGCTCCAGGGTGCTCTGGTAGCTTTTTCCCATTTCATATCCCTGAGATTACCCAAGCATTTCAAGCACAGCCTCGAACAGCCTTTGTGCTGTGCCAGAGAGGTTCTTTCTGCTCTGCATCAGTCATAAATGGTTTCTTTTCATGTTCTCCCCTCCAACTTTGAAGGCTTAATTCAGTGTGAGTTAAGCTCCTCTGTTGCTTCACGCTGCCTGTAGGCAGGCAGGCAGGGCAGCCCTGGGCTCACATTACTGAAAGCAGATCTGACATACGTAGCCTTTATGCTTCCTCAGCCTTGTAACTGGAATCCAGCTCTGTGTGTTCCTATTCCCCCTTTTCAGTTCCCAGCATTTGTCACTTCCGTTGCTATACAGAAGCAAAGGGTTTGGGCTCCCTATCTTTGCAATTAACAAAAAAAACCCCAAAACCGCCTAATAAAGCTTTGGTAAAACTTCAGCTGAGATCAATTCAAAGAAGAAGCTTCCATCAACTCGTCCTACCTTCATGCTGAGAGGCTTTATTGTCCCGATGAGTCTCGTCCAGCTATTTGCCAGATGTTTAAGAGCACCTTCTGCAGCCTTTCTCCCAGCCTCAAGCTCCAAGTTCCTCTTGGAGTTGCACACCTTTCCTTTACAGTTCTTACAGCACAGTGCTTTTGATCCAGGATATGTGGGGTCACCAGCATGGTTTTAACGAGTGAATTGAAGCACCAGTAGGTTTCTTGGGGCCATTTCCTCTTTCTTGGCAGCGTTAGGACAGCATTTAGCACACTGGGCTCACACTACGATTAGTGGCATAGAGAAGCAGAAGCTGTTTCTCCAATCTAAACAACGCAGGAGAAAAATTACAATGAGCTGCCATGGGGGGGAGAGCAGGAGGAGGAGGGGAGCTTTGGGAAACCAAAGGTTTTAAACTTCATCTGCTTCATGCGTGCGTATCCCCCGCAGGAATGTTCAGCATGTCGTCGTTTGCCATTTGTTAGAAGAGCTGTGAGGCTGTGCTGGGCTCTGACTGCTCCTTTTCTCTCCAAAACAGAATTAAAAATGGAAAAGCACATTAGTTCTACAAAGGAAAGCATGATAAAAGGGAGGAGCGGATCACAGCTCCCTCTTTAGATGAGTTGCTTGCCCTGTAAAGGAGAGCACTTCAGTCTATTTCTGTCCCATAACCGTCCCAGTTTGAGCCTTATTTTCAGTTCTGACGTGTGTGTTATCTTGTCTCCCTCACGCTGGGCAAGATCCTTGCAATCCAATTGTAACCCTAAAGTTCAGACAAATATTTACGGCCTCTGCTTTCCATTTAAGATGAATGGCTACTTCAGAATGCTTTCTTTGCAGTGTTTCCCACTCCTTAAGGGTGTTGATGCTTTCTAAACCTGCCCGGACAGCTTGAGAAATGAAGTGGGAGTCGCAGCCAGTACAATTTGTTCTCTGCTTTATTTACAGGAGCCAAGCAATAAACGGGTTCGGCCTTTAGCACGGGTCACATCCTTGGCCAACTTGATCTCTCCTGTAAGAAATGGTGCAGTTCGGCGCTTTGGGCAAACGATACAGGTAAAAAGCAGAGCTTTCTGGTCCTCTGTGGAGACACAGGGCCATGCTGGCTGTGTGGGAGCAAAGCAGGCACTGGGATTTCAAGGCATCGATAGGAAAATCTGCTGTCTGATTAATGCAAGGACACAAAGGGGGGACAACAAAGTTGCCTGGTGGACGAAGAAGAGTTCAGGAGTTCAGAGGTGGCTTGCTAGGTATCAGGTGATGGAAGGTTTAGGGAGGCAAGAAAAATAAAGCCTGATGCACATAGGGAGAAACGTGTTGCTGAACTCTTGCAGTACGTGAAGCGTGTGCCTAGAAATGAAATGACCCCGCTGCTTAGTGATAAGGTTGGAGAAGTGTTGTCTGAGGAGCTGCACACCCCATGCACTCGGATAAGATCGCTTCTCAGGCTGTGTTGTAACAACATGGCAGATCAGGAGAGCAAAGTTCAAGTGGCTCCTGATTAGCCCCATTAAAAGCAGAATTATGATTCTGATTCGTCTACTTCCTCATACCTTGGCAAGAGACCCACGCTTTAGCAGCCCACCTTCCTCCTCAGTGCTGCTGGATCAGTGCAGAGAGGCACAGGGAAAAGGCTGCCAACCTCAGGGCTCTGGGGGCCTTCTCAGCAACTTGATTAAAGTGTTCCTTTATCTGAGGGAAAAGTGTCTGGGTGTGTTTTCCTGCCCTGCACAACAGAGGAGGATGAAAGATTGGGAGGGGCATAGAATAACACTTCTGCACTCCTGAAATGTTGGCTCCAAACTGTATTTTTTTACTGTTGTGGTTTGTTTTTTTTTTCTTCCATCCCTGTAGTCATTTGCCCTTCGCAGTGACAGCAAATCTCCCAGCTGTGCCCAGAAGTCATGTAGCAGATCTGCTGCCCCTACCCCTCCTAAAAGAAGAAACAGCGTCCTTTGGTCTGAGATGTTAGATGTCAACATGAAAGAATCTCTGAGCACCAAAGAAATCAAACGCCAGGAGGTGAGCTGCCCGTTAGCAGCAGGGCAGGGAAAGGCAGCTGAAGCCTCCATTGAGTCCATTGCTTGGGTGGGAAAAGGAGAAACGGGCATCTCTGGGTGGTTGTATCTTCCTCCCCACCTTCATTTCTGAGCTGTTAGATTCATTTCGGCTTTAGGCACGGGCAAAGGTGCGGGCTTCTCCCTCAAAGTGAGTCACTGGGGAGTTACTCTCCCCTCTTTGACCCTTCAGAGATGCCAAATGCTTTCCAGGGGGGTGCTCAGCATTGCTGAAATTTGAGCCCCAGCCACACTGGTTGCTCTGCAGCAGACCCGAAGTCGGGTGGTTGTGCAGCCAGCTGTCTTTCTCTTAAAGCTCTTGACAATTGGTTGCAAGCCAAATAGCAAGGCCTTGGCTTGCTTTTTTCCTGTAGTTCTTAGACAAATCTTCTAATGACAACACAGAAGCTGACTTAAAGGCGCCTGGGATTTGACCTCTGCGGTTTTCTGGGTTTTGTTCTTTTTCGTACTCGCCTGTGTAAAAGCAGTGATTTAAAAGGTGCTAATATTTAATTTGGCTTGTGTGTGAGTGGCAGAGCTTTCACACACTTGTAAGGAATGCAGCTTTCTCCAAGCTGGGAAAGCGGGCAGATTGACTCGAGGTTGTCGTGCCCAGGTGGCATAGAGTGATTCACAAGGCAAAGCTGCCTGTTCAAGACAGGATGTACATTATGTGAACTGAATGGCTCTTTCAGAGGAAGACTGGGATTAAAAATGACTCTCAATGCTTTATCCCCCTCCTCACAGGCAATATATGAGATGTCCAGAGGAGAACAGGACCTGATTGAAGATCTGAAGCTTGCCAGGAAGGTGAGTGAGTTTTTCCTGCACTCAGTAATCATACTGTAAATAAAGAAGTGTACTTACACTTGCAAACATTGCACGTCACCTTTGTCAGGCCCAGCATCCACCTTTTGAAAACTATCCTGGAAAGCTGAAGTGAGCAGTGCTGGCAATGCTGGTTTGATTGCAGCAAGCTCATACAAAAGCAGGTGTAGCTTTGTAGTCGTGGGTACAACTAAAGGAACTCCTCCTGTTGAGACAGGAAAGCCCATTTCATCTGTAGGCCTTGATACCTCTATGCAGAGTTGTGTCTTGCACTGATCCAAGTCACTCTTCCAACCAGCTCCATTTCAGATCTGTCCTGCACTCCCTACACCTCCCATTAATATTGTATTAATATTGTCAGCTTCTGGGCTTCCAAGATCTGGATGTGCTTTAATACTGACTTTCTTTGACAGGCTTATCATGATCCTATGCTGAAGCTCTCTATCATGTCTGAGGAGGAACTCACCCACATATTTGGGGACTTGGATTCTTACATTCCTCTGCACGAAGGTAAGAGCTAAGCCAACATGACGTATTGACTAAGAGTGATGCTCTGTGCTTTCTCACATCAGAACAGTTAGCTGGGGCATTGTGGCAACTTCTGTTTGTGTGTTTCAATTCCAGATTTGTTGGCAAGTTTAGGAGAAGCAACAAAACCAGACGGAACGGTGGAGCAGATCGGGCCCATCCTTGTGAAGTGGGTGAGTACATAACTGTCAGGCACCAGGCTGAAAATGATTGTGAGATTAAAGAACATTTAGAGCTAGAAGCTGAAAAGCTCGCAGGCTTTTGTGGCGTGGAGTGAAAGATTGAAACGGAAATCCTGACTGCACTGAAAACAATGGGACTCTGTCAGCTTTAATGGGCCACTGTTTCATCTGGGAGACTCGCACTAGTGTGACTACAATTACTTTGTGATTTATGTTAGAAATATCTCTGTCTTCTGGGCTGTTTGCAGCTGATGTGATTTCGTTAGTGCTGACAGTAGTAAACATCTGAACTTCAAAGGCACTGCATGGAGGACGCCCTGTTCTCCTCACTCAAGAGTAGCTACACATACAAGATGCTCTGTTAGCTTTTCTATTGGGCCAAGAATGGAAAGCCTGGGAAGCAGAATGGGAAGCAGAACTCCCCAAGTTGGACGTGTTAATGCGATTTGCTTTTGCCGTGCAGAGTTTGACTCCTGGTTTGACTCCATGGTTGTGTTCTCCTGCAGTTGCCACGACTCCATGCCTACAAAGGTTACTGCAGCAATCAGCTGGCAGCCAAAGCGCTGCTGGATCAGAAGAAACAGGACCGAAGGGTGCAGGACTTCCTGCAGCGTTGCCTCGAGTCTCCTTTCAGCCGCAAGTTGGACCTCTGGAGCTTCTTGGACATCCCTCGAAGTCGGCTGGTCAAATACCCACTGCTCCTAAAGGAGATCCTGAGGCACACTCCCAAAGACCATCCTGATATTCAGATTCTGGAAGAAGCCGTAAGTAACAGCGGTTGTGGGATTGGGCTTCTGACAGCGCCGTGGCATTTGGGAGGAAAAAGAAGGCTTTCTTAAACCTTCAGCAGTTTCGTGGGGTGGTTTAAAGCTGTGGCTGTAACCCCTTCTGAAAGCAAAGGAGCAATCAGTCCACACGGGTTCCACCATGGGGATTTTTCTTTAGTAGCGCTTCGATGGAAGATGCTCAAGCGTAAATCCTTATTTAATCATTTTTAAATGCTTTGTTTTATAGATATCTATAATCCAAGGAGTCCTCTCTGACATCAACTTAAAGAAGGGAGAGTCGGAATGCCAGTATTACATTGACAAACTGGAGTATCTGGATGAGAAGCAGAAGGACCCGAGGATTGAAGGAAGCAAAGCTTTACTGTGCCATGGGGAGCTGAAGAACAAAAACGGGCATGTAAGTCCCTTCAGTTGATGGTAATTAATAATCAACGTTGAAACCTTACCCTCAGAAACAATTGAAACTGTCTGTCATAACATGACCAGGAGCTCTTATCTCCTTAGTTTGGGCAATTAGCTACGTTTTTAGAAGCAGAAGAGAAAGGACCTGATGGCAGAGCGCATTACAGGGTGTAAGGGAAAGTTTCCTGCTGACAGTTTGACAATTGGCCTTCAGGAGCTGGAAAATAATTAGCACAAAATTACTGTAGAAAGTATGCTCTGTGCCCCAGCACTCCATCAGAAGGGATTTCCTGCCGGCTGTTTACTTTCAGGTGCTCTGACATTCCCCATTGTGAACGCTGGCCACGGTTCTTCCAAACAAAAGTGTTCCTGCAAAAGCCTGTTTGGCTTTGAGATGAACTGCTAGGAGTTTATCTCCCTCTGCAGCAGCCCTGAAAGACCCTGCTGTACTCAAGGGTTTGCTGCCTTTTGTCCTGACTTAGCCTCAGTTTAAACATGAAATCTTTTTCTATTTTCTTTGGGCTTTTTGTGTGTGTGGTTGATTGGTTTGTTGAATTCACTCATTACGCCACAGGAGACATGAAGTTCTTTACAGAGAGAGTGGTGAGGTGCTGGAACAGCTGCCCAGAGAGGTTGTGGACGCCCCGTCCATCCTGGAGGTGGTCAAGGCCTGGTTGGATGGGGCCCTGGGCAGCCTGGGCTGATATTAAACATGGGCTGGTATTAATGGAGGTTGGTGGCCCTGCCTGCAGCAGGAGGGGGGTTGGAGCTTCATGACCCTTGAGGTCCCTTCCAACCCTGGCCATTCTGTGATTCTATGGAGCATTTTACATAGGTAGGAAAGGTATTGGTTCTCATTGTTTTATACTTGCCATCTGCACATCGTAATCCAATTTAAGGGTCACAAGACAGTAAACCTGTTGATGTAAATCTTGCATATGCCATCGCTGTCAGAGCTCTACGTGACTGCACCAGAAAGCTATCTGAAAGTTAACATGGGTGAGACTTGAGATAATGTGACCTTGAATTGCAGAGGGTGTGTAATCACCTGGCACATAGAGCTCAATGTTTTCCACATGCTCACACATGCTTTCCCTTTCAGAAACTCTACGTCTTCCTCTTCCAAGACATCCTGGTTCTGACCCGGCCGGTCACTCGCAACGAGCGTCAGTCCTACCAAGTGTACAGGCAGCCCATCCCTGTGCAGGAGCTGATCCTGGAAGACCTGCAGGACGGCGATGTGAAAATGGGAGGCTCTTTCCGAGGAGCGTTTGGCAATTCAGATAAAGGTACAAAGCAACCCAACCCTTCCGTGTGGGGGTTGTTTGAGGACAGCAGGGTACGTCCGGGCACGGATCCCTATGGATCCACCACAGTGCTGTCGCTGCTGAGCTCTGCACTGTTGGATCTGGAGGCCGTAAGCTTTGAAATGGCGCCTTGCAGTCGGTGCTAAGATTAGAAAATACTGGAACGTATCATTGCTGGGGATTTTCGGAGGGGGGGGGAGGATGTTGGGGAGATGCTGAACGCTTTCCCTGAAGCAAAACAGGGCAGATTGGGTTCAATAACAGAATCTAAATACTGAGCTCAGGACTGATCTGCTTTTTCCTATGTTTACCTTCAGCTAAAAATATCTTCCGAGTCCGTTTCCAAGACCCCTCCCCAGGCCAGTCCCACACGCTGCAGGCCAACGATATCTTCCACAAGCAGCAGTGGGTGAACTGCATCCGAACCGCCATTGCCCCCTTCCAGCGACCCGCTGCTGCCACGGAGCTGAAGGAGCTGCCAGAGCTCAGCGAGGAGTCGGAGGAGAACAACCCCTCCGTGCCCAACGTCAGAGCGCAGAGGAGGCAATCTGCCATGTCAGGCATCACTGAGATGGAGCTCGATGAGAGCACAGCCGAGTGCGGCTCCGTCCTGGACTCAGAGGAAGCAGCCAAGGGCACGAAAACACACAGAACACTGTCTGGGCACAGGAAAACCAGGGAGAAGCAACTCAGCAGCAAGCGGAAAGAAACACTGGTGTAGGGAGGAGCCCAGTGCCATCCTGGTGGAACTGCTTATTTATAAATAACGTGTACATTTTCCTTGTCATGTGAGCACGATTGGATTTGCTCTACTGAACAGAAGTGTCTTTTTTTTTTGTATGTTGTAATGGCAGCTACTGGTATGCAGTTAACACTGTTGAACCGGAGTCTGTTTTTCCAAAAGGGAGCAGTCTGAGCCCGCTCTGCCACTGCCAGGCAGCATTTTGACCTCTTTACAGCAGGTTTGTGAAGAACACCTTGTTGGTTTGGGGAAGATTTTCACGTGTGGTGGTTGAGGCTTCTAAAGCAGAAGTTTGTGCCGTCACCTGGAGCCTGGCAGAGCCCCTCCTCGCAGTCCTATCAGTGCTGTGAGAATCCCTTCAAGCACTCTGAAGCTGAAATCACCATTTTGTTTCTGTCTTTTGCAGTGTGTGGTTACCACCACCCATCCCACCAAAAAAAAACAGACCCCAGGTTCAACAGGTTCTCAATTTACCTACTGGAATCTTTCATTTTAGAATGTCCATTTGTACATTCCTCATTTTCACTCACGTAACCTGCCACGTATTTAATTTTGGGGTTTTTTTTTTAATTAGTTGTTTTTGTTTCGGGTTGGTTTGGGGTTTTTGTTCCCTTTTTCTTTGGTTTTCTTTTTTTACTTTTGTATTGCTCTTGTCATCTTTTAGTCTTTCAGACTTGGCATTTCCTTTCGAGTACTCCATCCTTCTTGTTCAGAGATGTACAAATTGCTTCTCACGTCACTCACAGAACTGGGTTGTACGGGGCGTAGAAAGGTTTTAGGCACGTTGCAAAGGGTTTGGGGAGGGGGAAGAGCAGATAGAAGGAATAGAGGGAGCAGGAGTAGCTTTATTCTGTTGTCTTTTGCAAATGAAACGCCTCTCACTGCCCGTGAGAGGCAGGGTTGGAGGCAACCAAGAGGATACTGCATGTGGTAGAAAGCATAGAGAAAAGAAAGCGTAGAGAAAAGAAAGCAGCTGAAGCTGATGAGTTACAGACAGAGACACGGCTGTATATAGGTGTACAATGGTAGCACTGCCATGTTCTACAGTGATCCAAAGATTCCCGTGAGATGCCAGCTTGGAACCTGTGCTGCAAAGCGTTGTAGGAAACGAAGTGGTGACAGCTCTGATCAAAGCCAAAAGGTTGTTCCTGCAGTACGGCTGATCCCACCGCCCTCCGTGACACCAACCTGGGAGCCCTGAGTCTCGGATGAGGTTCTGGTTTTGTTGGGAATGGGAAGAGGGGGCACGCAGCCACGAAACCCGCACGGTTCTCTGTAAATGGCTTTGTACAGTTTCAAGTGCCAAGTACAATTAAATTCCTGACGGCCTCCTGCTTGTCTGTGTGAGTCGCTGCCTGGGTGGGACGGGTTAATGCCACCGGGGCTGTAAGGCTGAGCTCAGACAGAAGAGATAAGCTCACAGCTGCACTTCTGCCTCCAGCCTCTCCTGCACGCTGAATTCACAAGAAAGCAGCCCTGTGTCACAATCCTCTCCCTTTTTTCCCCGAAATGATGAGCGAATGGTTTATGGCCCAGCACACGGCCTGACACCGCCCTCCGTGTGCTGTAAAACAGGGCACAGCTCCGTGACTCACTGCAGAGCCTGCAGAGCTTGCTGTACCTTCTGGGGTAGAAGGAAACAGCCCTGATATCTGCTCCCTCCCCAGACACCGCAGGTTGACTGTGTATGGCAGCACAGGGCACAGCTCCGTGCCAGCTGCCCTGGGTTTCCCAGTGCTGTGTGTCAGAGGTTTGCACACCATTTTTGCCCACTGAACTTAAGTTTGGAACTGGAGGGGGCTCAGCCCTCTGCGTTTAGGAGCAAAACGATGTGGAAAAAAAGGCTCTTTTGGCAGAAAAAATAGAAGACATTATGAGCTGTGGGCGCGCATGGCTGGACCTCAAAGGAGAGGAAATCCTGCAGTGAGCCCACTGAGCCTCCTGCACATCACAACGTCGGTCTGGTCTTCATGCGGGCGGCAGACAGCCAAGCAGCCAAGAACTTCATTTCCCCCCAGCACGTCCCAGTGGTTCCTCTCCCTGATGGCGTTGAACCCGCGCGCTCCAGGGCTGGATGTGCAGACTTCACTAGACTAAACACGGGCATTCCTGGCTGCTCTGGGCTCCCAGCCACTCCTTTCCTTGCTGCCAAGGGACGCGGGGACGCAGCGGTGGGATAGCAGAGGGGGACCTGGAGCAGCACTGCGTCCCCAAACCACACCGAACCCCCCAGAGACCCTTTCCAAGATCCTGTTTTGTACCTTGCACCCCAACGCAATCCCTCCTGGGCTTTGTTCCTCCCCATCCGCACAGGTAAGACCGGCCCCAGCACGCCCAGGCTCGTGCAGAGGCCCCATGGAGGTTCTCTGCCAGAGCAGTTTTGCTCTCCACCTCCAACTTTCTCTTTTTTCCACAAATTCTTCAGCCTCCCCCTTCCCTCTGCCTCGTCTGCAAATGCAAACCCAGACGTTGCCGCACACATCTGTGCTCGCACTGCAAGCCACGCCGGCTCAGGGTAATCTGTCTGGGTGCTTTTAACCACTCATTTGGGGGCTTTTTTTTTTGCTGTTTCATGGATCAGCCAGGCATCGAGAGGAGAAAACGCCTGGAAAACACTTCATGAGGCTTGAACTTGAGCCCCTCGCACCCACCGGCCTCGTCTCCCTCCTCCATCAAAGCATCGACCCCTCGAGCCCCGGTTGGATGCGACCCAGGGAAACCAGAGCTGCTTTCCTGTCCTCCCAGATGCGATAAATAGGACCCGGCCATAAACCACGGGGTTTTATGGGCCAGAAGGCAGTTTGACGAGGTTAATTACCCCGTTGAACTAATGAGGCTGCAGTTAAGGGTGGTCAACATCAAAGGCCGACCTTCTCCCAGCGGCTGTGGTCAATGGGAAGGTAATGGACGGTGCTGATGGGGAAGCTGTCTGATGGTGTTTGCTTCTCCCAGCCACCTCCACCAAGTTCCCTCCTCTTCCCATCCTCCCAGGGGCTCTTTCACAACAGTTTTGATTCATCCTGGAGCAGAACAGCAAGAGAAGGCAGTTAGATGGAAAATCAGGGAGCAGCTTGTTGCACAAGAGGAGCTCCCAAGGGCTCCCCTCCCCGAAACACACCGTGCCTCTCGCCAGACAGGTTTCCACCACGGCTCAGCCCATTCCTCCCAGCAACGCCTGAACGTGCCAAGAGGTTTTTCCAGATGAGATTTTTCTTAGGTGCTCTCCTCCCAACCTCTGTCCCATCTGGAGAATGCAATTCCCATGCTGTCCCATAGTTTGTTTCTGTTTCATGACATTCCATCCAAATCTCACAGCTTTACTTCCTCACCAGGGTAAAAATGGGGGAAAGTGGTGTTGTTTTCTTGTAGACAAGAAAGTCAGATTGTATTCTGCTGTAGAGTTTGGTCATCTGGTCCCATTAGTACCCTGGTCCAGCTGGAGAAGTGACTTGGCCATTATGGGGACATGGGAAAAAGAGGGGGGTGGATGGATGGATGGATGGATGGATGGATGGATGGATGGATGGATGGATGGATGGAGGGAGGGATGGATGGATGGATGGATGGATGGATGGATGGATGGATGGATGGATGGATGGATGGATGGATGGATGGAGGGATGGATGGAGAGAGGGATGGATGGAGGGATGGATGGATGGAGGGATGGAGGGATGGATGGATGGATGGATGGATGGATGGATGGATGGATGGATGGAGGGATGGGTGGAGGGATGGAGGGATGGGTGGAGGGATGGAGGGATGGATGGATGGATGGATGGATGGATGGATGGATGGATGGATGGATGGATGGATGGATGGATGGATGGAGGGATGGATGGATGGATGGATGGAGGGATGGATGGATGGATGGATGGATGGATGGATGGATGGATGGATGGAGGGATGGGTGGAGGGATGGAGGGATGGAGGGATGGATGGATGGAGGGATGGATGGATGGATGGATGGATGGATGGATGGATGGATGGATGGATGGATGGATGGATGGAGGGATGGGTGGAGGGATGGAGGGATGGGTGGAGGGATGGATGGATGGATGGAGGGATGGATGGATGGATGGATGGATGGATGGATGGAGGGATGGGTGGAGGGATGGAGGGATGGAGGGATGGAGGGATGGGTGGAGGGATGGAGGGATGGAGGGATGGATGGATGGAGGGATGGAGGGATGGATGGATGGATGGATGGATGGAGGGATGGAGGGATGGAGGGATGGATGGATGGAGGGATGGAGGGATGGATGGATGGATGGATGGATGGATGGATGGATGGATGGATGGATGGATGGAGGGATGGGTGGAGGGATGGAGGGATGGATGGATGGATGGATGGATGGATGGATGGATGGATGGATGGATGGATGGATGGAGGGATGGAGGGATGGGTGGAGGGATGGAGGGATGGATGGATGGAGGGATGGATGGATGGATGGATGGATGGATGGATGGATGGATGGATGGAGGGATGGAGGGATGGAGGGATGGATGGATGGATGGATGGATGGATGGATGGATGGATGGATGGATGGATGGATGGATGGATGGATGGATGGATGGATGGAGGGATGGATGGATGGATGGATGGATGGATGGATGGATGGATGGATGGATGGATGGAGGGATGGGTGGAGGGATGGAGGGATGGAGGGATGGAGGGATGGAGGGATGGATGGATGGATGGATGGATGGATGGATGGATGGATGGATGGATGGATGAACACATGGATGGACAGATGGATGGATGAATGGACGGATGGCAATGTGGTTGGGTAAGTGGATGGACGCATGGATGGATGGTTGGGCAGCTGGATGGAAGTATGACTAAATGGACAGAGGAATAATTGGGTGGATGGTTGGTTAGTTGACTGGATGGACAGATGAACAAGGACAAGTGGGCAAAGAAGCACATAATCATGTGCTCCTGAGCCCCTTGTCCTCACGTTCTTCTTAACTCCCTGATGTAAACGACGAGAACAAAATGAAACAACTTGACACGGTGATTCACCTTCCATCAGCCCAGGATTAACCCCTGACTAACCAGGGCATGAGCTTCACGACAAAACTCACCTATGTACGGCCGCGTCAGCTCCCTGGGGCCACACAGCTGTGCTCGGGGAGCCCAGACAAGGTGTCATGGCTGACTCAGGTTCCCATCAGCAAGGAGCACAAGGAGTGCATCACAGCTGGGTTCTGCCTGGACCTGCACGAGCAAGGAGCAGGAAACCTCCTGCATGCCCCAGCTCCTCCTGCTCCTCCTCCGGGAAAGGGAGGACAGAAGGGAGGAGGCCCCAGGAGAAGGAGGAGGCTCCAGGAGTGGGAGAACAGGAAGGAGGAGGCTCCATCCACACCTCCCCGCCAGCGCTGCGTGCTGGGGCAAAGCCGTGTGCGAGCGGAGAGCGCGGGACGCCATGGCCGAGCGGCTGTCGGAGGAGCAGATCGCCGAATTCAAGGAGGCTTTTTCCCTTTTCGATCGCGACGGCGACGGCTGCATCACCACAAAGGAGCTGGGCACCGTCATGCGCTCACTGGGGCAGAACCCCACCGAGGCGGAGCTGCAGGACATGGTGGGAGAGGTGGACGCGGACGGCAGCGGCACCATTGATTTCCCCGAGTTCCTCTCGCTGATGGCGAGGAAGATGAGGGACTCGGACAGCGAGGAGGAGATCCGCGAAGCTTTCCGCGTCTTCGACAAGGACGGCAACGGTTACATCAGCGCGGCGGAGCTGCGGCACGTCATGACCAACCTGGGAGAGAAGCTGACGGACGAGGAGGTGGACGAGATGATCAAGGAGGCAGATTGCAACAACGACGGGCAGGTCAACTACGAGGAGTTTGTGAGGATGATGACGGAGAAGTGAGCTTCGTCCTCAGCCCGCAGGTAACTCGTGCCCGGCCCCACGTGCTCTGAAAGCCATGGAACCAATTGCAGCGGCACCACAAATGTCTCATTCCCCACCCCTGACCACCTCCTGCGTTGCTGCCGATGGTTGGCGGTTGGAAAAATCAATGTTTAAGGTGCTTTCTAAAAATTTTTCCTTCTTTTTTTTTTTTTTTTTCATAGGGAAAACAGAGACCATGGCTGTCCCCAGCCCCTCCATCCCCTACCGCCTTCTCTCTGCCATCCTGGGCTGAAAAATGATCTTTTATCCCAACTGGAGCATCGCCAACCTACGTCTGTGTTGGATGCAGGAGAGGGCTTGGGTCACGACAGCTTGGCATGGTGATAGACAATGGGGGGGGGACCCTCCTGCTTCCACCCTCAAGATGTACCTCTTGTGTTCCCAGAGGTGACAGTGGTCATTGTGCATCCA